AATCCATATTGAGAATGGTGTATTTAACTAAGCATCATGTTTGTTAAATAAAGTTGATGAAATTGATGCTTCCTACAGCCTTCTTCACTACAAATGCACAAGAAACAGCTTCTTCTATCTTTTCTTTGTAAAATTACCTTGAAAAGCCAGTTCCGTTTCCTCTACTCAGTGAGGACACCGTCACTGACTTCTGTAGGAAAAGTGCGGGCTCTTGTATTCTGTGTGGTATGTTAGCAAAAACATTTAAGATTTCTGCAGTTTCTCTACAATGCATCACATTCCCCAGGTGTCCCCAAGGTCTGAATAACTACAGTGTAAAACGTACACAGATTTAATGACTTTTGATTCTGACTCAGAACTCAGTTATACACACGCTGCTAGCCAACACACTTTATTTCACTGTAGAGGACTGCTTCTTTTTCCTTCACCATAAGAGCATAAAACACTGCTACAATGTGCCTTTTAATCCTAAAATAAAAGGCAGCATGGGCCAGAAAGAAACACTGACCTGTTTCCCCCAACCCACAGCTCATCTGTACCCACTGGTAACAATGGAAAGAGCACACTTGGACCAGATCCGCAGCTGGTTAAAATCAATCAGTGTAGCTCACAAGCTGTCCATAGTGGGCAAATCTCTGGAGAGAAAAGCCCACAAAATTCTTCTAGCTCAAGGCAGCCCACTGACTAGTGTCAGAAGGCTGTAACAAACATACATTGTGACACATTTCTAATTCACAGAATATCATTTAAATGTATACATGGATTACTTGAAAATATTCACAACACAAAACACTCCAGATCAATCGCTTTAATAGCCTAACATGACCCACTGTAGTCACATGGTTAGACACTGTGTACCTAATAGATGCACCATACCACCCAATCACCCCTGCTTTTAATTGCTCTCGAAATGTTACTTCAGTGCTGGAGAACATGGAGATCATGGGTACATTCTGAAACAAGAGGCAAGCCATAGGAGCAGAGAAGCTATAAATCAGTCTTGCTGGGCAGATGGCAATGCAAGCTAGCGAGCTGTTGGCAGATGGAAGTGAGAGTCTGGATAGGCAAAAAAAAATTGGTTGCAAACTAATGAGATCTGTTAAGATGTTAATGACAACTAACTCTTCCTTTCAGATCATTTTGCTTTAAGTGGGGATTAGATCAACTCCCCCTCCTACAGAAATTTACCTAGGAAGAATTTTTAGAGCTGTGAAGAAAAGGACGGTTGCTTTCCCTGAAGGCAGGCTAAACACAGCAGTCATCCAGAGAGGGTAGTGGGGTTATTCAAAATAAAATGAACAGAAAATTCATAATCCAGAAATCTCAGGCTCTCGTGAAATTTTTCAAGTCCAGAGCCTTCTACATACTGTCTGTAAGTCTCCAACCTGGCTCTCTACAACATTTTGCCTATTTTCATGGCAATTTTTCTAGCAAAGGAGCAGTTTCAAGCCAGGAAGCATCTTTACTGGAAGACTGCTATTTGACACACTAACTTTGGTGAGAACTTGGTCTTAGTCTGGCCTAGACGTGAGGTTAGCTTGGTGCTCTCAAACACTGCATCTTCTTCCCACAACTGACCTACAGGTCCTTTGCTGCCTCTATGAAATAGGTGGTATCTTGAAATCCTTCTGACTGTGAAATAGTTACTCTCAGAAAAAATGATAGCAACCCTTAAGATATTCATAAATATCAGCCCCTCTGACCTCCAAATGTTAGACAAATCTTTCCCTCTAGTCCTCCAGTATTAACAAATAAACTGCTCTTTTCTTAGTTTTTTCCTTTTTTTATTAATTTTTCTTTCCTTTGTCACCACTTCATGGTTCTTTTTATAAGCAACACTGCCAAGACTTCAGAGGTTTTTTTTTTCTATTCTGATACAATGGCCCCAAAAGTGTTAATAATGTTTTCAGAAGAACATAATACAAAACGATCTACTTCTGTAAGAGAGGCAAGCTCAGACAGTGTAGGCTCCTCCATTATTTCTAGAAGGTTACGGAGTTTTTCACCCAAGATATATTGCCAAGCATGAGCTCTTGTCACTACTGTCATGGACTGCAGGGTTCTCATGCTCCTATAAACTTCTACAGCTGCAACTTCCGACAATTGGGATTTTTTTAAATCTGCATGTAAGAAAAGGGGATGAGGTGATAAATAAATTAACTTTGCTGAAAGCCTTTGGGAAAACGGAAGTAAAGCTGCAGACTTGTGTGGGAAGCTAATAAAGTGGGAGCACAGCAAAAGCACTGCAACAACACAAAGGGTTAACAGGCTCTCAGGAAGAATTTGCAATCCCCAAGGTGTTACGAAGTTCTTGTATCCTAAACACACTTGCAGAAACATCCACATAAGGAAACTGCTATGTAACATATACACATACATGCAGTTGAAGGGCCCTTAGTCCTTAAGGCAGATACAGAAATGACATAGGTAAGAACAAGCATGTCCCATAACGGAGCCTACACAGAGCATTTAAGTATTAATATAGCATATAGATGTACTATCTGTTCGTAAGGTATAAAAACAAATGACCACAAATAAAGTCTAGTCATTTAAAACATTTGACAATACATTTCTCAGATTTTCTTTAAACCGAGAAGGATGTTTTCTGGGGTAAGCACATAAGTGAAAGTTCACATGTTTCAAGTGAAAATCCATACTTTCTCACCAATTTCCTGTGCAATCTTGATCAAGCCTCTCAGTGCTTCCTGTCACTACTTTTCCCAGATGTAGTTATGGGGTTACACTAGCTGTATGTGTCATGGAGATTGTGTGTATGCTACCTGCTCCTTTTTGATATAGTTTAGGTTACTTCTTCACATTACAATTCAGATCTCGATCTCCAGCTATCAGACAGGAACCAAAAAAAAAAAAAAAATCTCCAATTAGCTATTATTATGCAACAATCATCATTGGTTCTTACAAATGCATTCCTGTCCAACAAACATCAGCTTCAGATAGCTACTAATACAGGGAACACTTGAAACTATCTTTTATCTAGCCACTCATGCAGTGTCTGTATCTCCCCTTAGCTATATAAGATCCAGAGAGATAAGCTGCACTTAACTATAAAATAACAGGAAGTGACTAGAAAGGCAACCATTGCAATACTGTGACAAGTTTGTCAGTAAACCTGTGTTCTAACTCGGAGCAACACCTCTCCAAAAAAAAAAAAAAAAAAAAAAAAAAAAAAAAAAGCTAATTCCAGCACTCTGGCTACAAATCATGAATTCAATGCAAGTATCATGACAGTCGTCTTAAAGCCTCAGCATGCTGAAGTACACTTAGGACTCCCAGCTTCCATGGGTTCAGCCCTTTTGGTTACAGAGAAAAGTGCACATTAAAGATTCAAATTTCAGAAAGCAAATCAAAATGAACCAGCTGTATTTATTTAATCAAACGATTCTTAAACTAATCTTACAACTTTGGAGGAGGGGAAGAAGCCAACTCATTTGTTTTAAATATCTGGAGAAGTCAGCATTGCTCAAGGTATTCCAATTTATACATAACCATATGGAAAATATTCTCCCTTAGCAGTTTTATCATATCAGTGTATGTAAGTTCCCATTCATCCTGAATGGGAATTCCCATCAAAAATTTTGAAAGGTATCTTTCTGATCCAAATTCTATGATTTTGTGCTCTCTATTGGCTTGGCTCTGCATATGTGTGCATGTGTGTGCGTGCGTGCATGCACACACACAAGTGTGTTCATACGTGATGGTATCGATGCATCCAAATACATGGAGGAAAACAAAAAAGGAATGGGAAAGAACAGTATTTTCTGATTACTCATCAAGAATAATTACATCTTTCCAAAAGGTCATTTGTTTCTTATTTATTCTCTGTGAACAACTTTGATGGATAAACCAACAGTATCATAGGGTTACATGTCTAAACAAGAGCAAACAAACTCAGAATAATTTCTTAACAGAAGTATAGAGAAGTCCAATTTAGGAGTATAGATGTCTTGGGCATCAAAGCAATAAAATTTAAGCTTTTGGACCAGCATACTTTGAGCAAGGTTCTTCCATTTTATCCTCAGAAAGGCACAGGCACAGTTAATGACATAATAGGCATCTCAGTACTGTAACACGTAACTGTGAAAGGGGGGAGCACTGTTCCAAACTTCTCTAGGGCCTTGGGGCTGGCAGCATCCCAGAATTCACGCTGTCATTGTTTGCAAGAAGGTACAGACTCTGCTGTCATCCCCTGGTTGATCAAAGAGTCATACCATGAAAAAAAAAAAATCTGAACTTTAAATTAATTTGGCTAGTGCCACTGGCAAAATGTCTCATCTCCCACACACCGTAAATGAAGAGGCAAGGACAGAGAGGAAGGAAACATATACTGGAAAGACAGATGGGAAGATGAAAGCATTGTGGACTAACACTCATATTAAAAGGCATCATCTATCCCTGCCCTCGGTCAATACTATCCCCCGGCCAGGATGGAAATCTTGAATGGAAATGAATTCCAGGGTTTCCATATTACTTACCTCACCATCCTCCTCCACAAAATATAAATTCATACTCTGAATACATAGCAAACCAGGCATTCAGCAAAAAACATAGCAAAAACTGGCTAAGTCTGGAATGGTAATAAACACAAAATACTGTCCTCAATGTTATCTCAAACACTGTATTTTTAGCTACCCATGGTTTCGAGAAGAGTGCACCACTCATTACAACTGCAATAAACACAGCATCAGATACACAGAAGCAATGACCAAAGGAAAAGAAACTCATGAAATCAAACTGTCACCTCGAGCCTCACAATGACCCCAAAACATTCTTATGTCTAAATATTAACTTCTACCTTTGGTAGATAAAGTTATTGTGGTTCCATAGCACCATAAACCTTCTTTCTACATGGTACAGTCTTGCTTTTTCATAATGTTGATACTTTTATGTTTACCCTAACACATCACTGCAACTTGGTCATGACTGCACAGTACATGACATCTCAACAGCTTACAGGACACCATGAAGTCTTCCCATCTTACCTGGCTCTGTACAGTTCTTTCTTTCATGTGTCCCATTAGGCGATGCCATCAATCTTCTGTTCCTCCATATTTCTGACAAAATGTGCCTGTCTGCAATAGCTGATTCTCGGCCTGTATTAAATAGAAAGAGGTTATGCCCACTCTCAATTTGTATCATCTTACCTGGACTGTATGCCCCTAATTAGCCAGGAGCACTGACAGACAACTGGTATGAGCACAGCAAAATAAAGGTCTGACTGACACACACCAACATACTAGGTGCACCTAGCTACAAAGGGTGAAACTAGCTGTGAATGTGCAGTATGACAGCTGTCAGCACATTCTGGCTACCAGAGTACCTGACAGGAAAGCATTCTGCAGCAAGCACATGCTGAAACATGCACCATTGAATCTCAAGTCTTACCGCTACTCTAGATGAACTACATCGGCTACGCTGACATGAGCAACAATTACACTTTCATTTAGACATTCACATCATTACATGCAAAAAAAAAAATGCATGTAAACAAATTTAAGTCATATTTTGATTTAATCTGAATTTAGGGGCTGGTCTTGTCAGTACTGGGCAGACCTGATCATATCAGTCCTTGCAAAACTTGTTGAGGAAAATTAAAAATAACTGCATCGTGAGAGCCCACAAGACTTAAACTTCTTCACAAGTCAGTGGAGCTTTCACCTAAAACAGTATTCCAGGAGCAGCCTCAGTGGAACTTACTGAATACGGTACACAAAGGAGCATTGGTGATAATGCAGGATATGCAATTATAATACTCAGAGGAAGAAGAATGGATCCCCCTAACTAAATCACTTCCATCTCAACTCTATCCTTTTCAAATGGACATCTAATAATAAAACTTCTCCAACATCCGATCTCAAAACTAATATTCAGTCGTCGTGCAATGTTTGTGCTTTGCTACAGTGACTCTCGCAAAAAAATCTCGCTTGGAAGTTAGTTTGGCTAGTGTCATTGCTTAAGTGTTCTGCTACCACAATAATAGGAAACATAGAGAACAGATGGTCAGTGTTTATGGATACAATGTAGTGTAAATTAGCAAGCTGAAAAAAAACTACCTGATACAGCATACCATCAAAAATTAGGTTATGGGGGATTTAGTTGATAACCCAGGGGATTAAAAACAATAACTTTCATTAGTCATGACATTTCTCATGCAGATCCAAAAAAGTTCTGGAAAATCTTTATCTGCAGCAAAAAAAACTCAAACCATGTAAACATAATCACATCCCAAATTAGTTGCTTTCACAAAACAGTAAGTTCATGAAAATAACTAGCTGGTGTTTAAAAAAAAAAAAACACACACACACAAACAGGCATAACAAACGCATAACAAATGCATCTGAACGAAGAAAATAATAATATATTCTAAAATTACAAGTAAAAAATAGCTCCAAAGTTCTGAGGTGAATAACATGCTACTGTGGTGTAAGATACTAAATTCTTACATAGATGGCTTGTTGCCATCCTAGATTTATCTCCAACATCACAAGTAATAATTTGAACACAAGAGCTATAGAAAGTGCAAGTTCCACTAGATTTTAAACACATCTTTTAACTTCAGCTTTAATTCAAGAAGGAGAAGACCCATCCTAGTACTGCTGAATCCTGATGTTCTTATACTAAACAGCAAAGTAGGATCTGGACTTAGTTTGGTTTTGTTCTTGAGGAACATTGGCACTGCTACCTAGAGACCCACGTGGTCTTGACTTCAGGCTTCATACGCATGAGGGATACAAGCGGTTTGCGGGAAAAAGGCTTAAAATCGCACAGTTAGACCCCAAACTGTGCAGGCAAAACAAGCAAACTGGACTGATGTAGCTGATTACAATTGCACCAGTTTACAGACAAGGTACTTGCAGAAAGGATGCAACAGCCTGCATACAACATGAGATGAACACTGTTCCTTGGCCAAAACACAATTATTTTTGTCAAATCCACACTGTAATTTAAGGCGTTTTGGAGGGAGAAGATGCAGAAAATAAATGGTTTTAGCTGATGGAGTTTTTCAACCACAGGATAAAAATGACAGGTGGCCCAGAGTTGCAAGCGGGACCAGAAGCGATCATCCTCGGCTCTGCTGCAGCGGCAGTGGGAAACTACTGTGGGACTGCTACCAGGCACGCAAACGCCCCGCGTTTCACACTCGGCTCCCCACCTGAAGCCCCTCCGAGGGGCAATGGGGGATGAGGGGGTCGCCAGAGCTGGCTCCGCGCTGGGAAGCTCCCGGGCGCCAGCGACGGGCCCGTGCGGAGGCGGCGGCCC